TAAGGAACAAAGGAGACCGTGAACTCGTGCATTTCCAACGTAGATATTTATGCACCGCAGAGCTGCCTGTTTATTTCAGCCTCCTCAAAGAATGTAGCTATTCAAGGGAATGTGGTTGAAGTTCATCAAGAGGCTGGAGACAGTTGGATGATTCCATGCTGAGAAACAGGTTGTTCCGATTGCCTCATGCTTCATCAGAATTTTATATGCGATGGGTTGTGATTCAGGGTAGGCACATATGCGAAAGGGAATTGCTAGACGGGCATGACACTTTGGCTACACGGGCATGACTCTTACACGGGCATGATTTTTACCACTTCTGATTGGTCGCATTGTTCCTGTTAACAGACGTAGGATTCTGCCGCCCCAGCTGCAAGTACCTAGGCTATCTCACCTCACCTCTGTGTAAATTAGTTCATTTCGCCTAAGCCGCCACGCAGCAACCACATGGTCGCGTAGTCGACGTGAGTCTGGGGCTTGCCTTCTCCTTTTCCTTAGGTTTTAGATAAACTATAGTACAGCACCTCACGTTGAAGAAAGGGCGGCCAATTCTTTCACATACAAACGCCTTTCCTGTTCCCGAGACCTGCAAGGACGCGTTCACAACATGTCTACATCAAGTCCTTCACATCGCGCAAATCTTCGCAGGCAGCGAAGCCCCAGTCCAGGCGATCAATTGCACCGAGAAACGCAACAACAGCTCAGTCGGCAAGGTAGATCCAGTCCTTCACTAGTCGAAGATCGACCGCAATCCGCGAGTAGCTCTGCGGCGAGTATCAGTCGGTTCTACGGACTTCGAGACGAAAATGCACTTGATAACCTGTTCGCCTCTTTCCCGCAAACACTTTCAAGTCTTCCACACCCTCACGGCTCACAAGGCCTCCACGAGCCTGCATGGGGCCTTCGATCCGATTATGAAATATATCTCCAAAATGACTTTATCCGTGGAACTGGACAAAGCTAGCGTGTCAGAGTGCTTATACCCGGCCCAGAGGGGGATCCATTTGCCCCCGAACCTCCTGAATCGCCCTCATCCGCACAGCAACCCCCAACAAGGACAAGACCCGAGTTCGAATCCGCAATGAGTATAATACGAGAGATTATCGGCGAAGGCCGGAGGTTAACCATAGATCTTATTCGATCATATGAACGGGTACAAGCTTGGCGAGAGAGATGGGGGTGGTCACCCTTAAGTTCTGAACCATATGACTCTCCTCCACCATACTCTCCACCTCGTACGTTACCCACACAACCTCCTCGAATATCACCAACTCTCGAGAATATTAATTCATCACCTATGCGACAGTCTCTATCCCCCGCTCCGGAGCCAATTCCCAACCCATTAATTCCAGGTGACGCAGCATCCTCGGCTGAAACTCTCTTTAAGACAATAAATACATTTGCAAAGGAGAACGGGTTTGGCATTGTTCGACGGAACAAGTACTCTTATAAAGGACGGTTAATTAGGTACTCGATTCAATGTGATCGGTTTGGGCAATCTCGAGCTACAGGGGGCTCTGGTCTTCGAAACCGAAGGACTCGTAAGTGTGGATGCGAATGGATGATAATTGCCGAGGCTTTAGAGGAAGGCAAGTGGCTTCTCCGACAACATAAAGATGCAAAACATCATCAACACAACCATACACGGAGTATTACGCCGTCCGCACACCTTTCCCACCGACGACTTACCACGCCAGTTAAAGCAACCATCGAGTCAGCAAGCCGTCGAGCGGGTATTCGAGCCAGCGATGTAGCTGCTATCGTTGAGGAGCAATTCCCTGATACTACACTCCTGCGGAAGGATATTTATAACGCCCGTTCGCTCATCAACCGGGAGAAACTTAAGGGCTATACATCTACTGCGGCATTGATCAGACTTTTTGATGAGAAAAAAGTCCCATATATCGCCAAGTGGGCTGATGATGACCCAGACAGACTGCTTGGCCTTGTCTGGACCTTTCCATACTGTTTACAGATGTGGAAGCGCTTCCCCGAGGTTATCAGCTTTGACAACACATATAATACTAATCGCTTCAAGCTTCCTTTATTCCAAGCTACTGGACAAACCTGTCTCGGGACAGTATTCAATGCTGCATTTGGTTTAATAGATAACGAGAGAAGAGAGGGATTCCAATTCCTTGCAGAGAGCATTCACGAACTTATTACAAAACACTCGATTCGGCAGCCTGATGTTCTTATCACAGGCTTCGATAAGGCAATGAAATCTGCTCTTAATGATCGGCTCCCAAATATACAGCAACAGCTTTGCATTCATCATATCCCTTCAAACGTCTTGCTTAAATCGAAGACTAAGTGGACGGGCGAACGTGAGGAGAGTGCTAGCCCTAGCGCTAGTGATAACGGAGATGTTCCCCCCGAGGCGCAGGTTAGGCTCGGCGCTACAGATGAACATCTGATCGAAGACTCTTCAACTCGTGATTATATTCCTCATACCTACCAGGGTGTTGTTTTAATGTGGAAACGGGTTCTCCATGCTGAGACAGAGAAAGCATTTGAGCAAGCATGGAGAGATCTTTGCAAAGAGTTCGACGACCAGCGAGCGATTCTACAATACCTCTATTCGACCTATCTGCCTGTCAGTGCTCAATGGGCACGGTGCTTTATCCGTCATTATCGTAACTTTAGTATTCGTGTTACGTCTGGCACAGAAGCAAGCAATAATAATGTCAAAAGCTATCTCTTGAACGGCATGAGCCACCTGTACCGACTGGTCGAGGCAATGCAGGATATGATACATGACCAAGAACGTGCCTTTACGGATGCGTGTGGACAGGATGACGTCCTCACTGCTCCCCAATACCTAGGTTCGATTGGCAACTATCTTGGTGAACTGCGAACAACTATATCCTCGAAGGGACTTAGGCTAATCAATAAGCAATACCGTATTGCTCGCAAGTTTCTGCCGACGGGTAAGAATCCCTTTCCAGACTCTATTGGACCTTGCGACGATGACTGTACGGTTTCGATCGAACTTGGAATCCCTTGCTATCATAAAGTCTATGCAAAGCTAGATTCTGCAACACCTTTTACTAAATGGGAGGTCCACCCACGCTGGCGACTTCGGGAATCGGTATCAGAAGATCCATACCGACGAATTCTTGACCCAAAAATTGCTACAGCATTACGCGGACGACCAAAGAACACTGTGCAGGTAGTTCCAATGAGGTTAGCTATTACAGTCAGTAACCAATCTGCTAGTCGACTAAGCGAGCGAAGGCGAGGCCGACCGCAAGGGAGTCTCAATAAGTCAACCCTTGCCAAGAGAGCACAAAAAGCGCCTCAAGAATTCATCACACAAACTAGTAGCCAAATTGGCACCTCGACCCGGCAACGGGCAGGTAGATGTTCTAAAGTTCTTAGAACTGGGAAGACAACAGGTGTGCGCTACAGTGGCCGGAGGATGCAACCAGGTATTCGCAGGACTAGAAGTCAATGGGAGTTGGCTAGAAGTGATGAGGATGATGCAAATTGTATCTTTGTGAGGCAATAAAATCCTCTAAGTAGGAGCCATTCCTTAATTATCTTGTAACCATATCACTCTTTGTAACAGATTCTGTGAAGGTTGGAATACTGAACGTCAAGATGGCAGGTGGAAAACGAAAGGCCACTAGTCGAGCTGGTGGGTGTCGACCAGCTAAACAGCGAAAGATCACCACTAAATCAACTGCTCAGGCGGCCCAAACGCCCGTTCCAACGCCCGTGTCGTCCCCGCTAAAGCCTCTACCTAAGCCAAACCTACGCGATCTATTGACCGAGCCCGCAACGTCCACCTTTAAGCTAGTTCCTTTGGAGGGTTTCCTCCGTCGTATCTCGACAGACCTGCCTCAGGATAGCCTACTTAACATTTTTAGACTGTTTTGCCTAATCCACATGCTCGACGAATGGACCGAATACATGAACGTACGCTATATCGAGCTACCTGGCACACTGTCGACAGCATGCCTGGAAGCCAACCCACGCCGCAGAGATCTACTTGTTCTTTGGGATGTTTGTATACATGTCCATCCATGTCGAACCACGCTTCGAGCACTACTGGAGTACCGCTCCAACTAATCCAGTACACCGAATTGCTAGATTCGTGTCACGAAATCGTTTTCAACTTCTCTACGGGCGCTTTTGTGTCTGGGATATTATGGAGCCTCTACAAGGGGTTTTCAATAAGATCGAAAATTGGAGTAACCACTTACAAGAAACATCAACCCGATACTGGAAGCCAGCGCCTGAGGGTAGCGTTGACGAAGCTATGGTGAGGTACACTAGCAAGAGCACTGAAACTGTCCATCTTCCTGCAAAGCCCATGCCAATAGGGGTACAAGGTATGGGTAGTTGCTGACTCAGGATACTTCCTTCGATGGTCCTTCCACACAAAAGGCAGTGGACCGGTCGGATACGACGCCTCTTTATACCCGGAGCTAGCTCCAACACAAGAAATTGTTATCGATCTCCTTAGTCGACTGCCGGCTCCTCCGTCCATAAGTCACGCGTATCACCGCTATATGGACAATATCTTTAGCACCCCTGAGCTCTTCGAGTTCTTGAGGGACCAAGGTACAGCTGTTACAGGTACTGCGCGTCTTGGAAGGATTGACAGCCGCAAGATGGCAGAGCTAAAGGCTGAAGATAGATCCAAGGATGTTGTCGCTTGGGGTACTCTACGTAAGGAAGCATTAGACCAAAGAAGTTATGCCGTTTGCTTTCAAGGACAACGCGTTAGTGCTTGCTTTAAGTACACGTTTTACTGGATTCGAGCCTTCGATATGGAGACTACGTAGCCAGCCTGGGAAGACGTCCACAAGTGCTAAAACTGCAAGAGCACCCTTCGAAGGCGAACCAACAAAGATGCCACAGCGCTCCTGAGAGACATGATGTTCGCCGTGTCGCTTGTCCTCATTGCTGGCTTCCCAGGCCCGTGACTGATTACGGGGATGGAGCACGAGGCGGCGGATTCCTCTTGTGACTTCCCGGTCGCGCACTGCCTCCGCAGCGGCGGCTGCAAGATCTCCACCGGAGTTAGCGCTCGAATCTGACCCTGCTCCTCGCGCCATTTCGCTTCTGTGTGCCTTGTCAGGGTTGAAAAGTACTGGCTGGCTTGTCCGCGTCAGGGAGCGTGATGATTGTTCGTGTTGGGGTACCACCAGGTGGTTGCCGCAGCCAGTGAAAGTTCCCTGCGGCCTGGCGCAGGCTGCAACAGATTACCTCATGCTAGCCAGATCCCACAGGGACTGTTAGCATCGCACAGCCTCTACTTCATCGAGTGCTACTATCTGCATGTCCCTAGACGTATCGGCAGCCTACACAAGCCGCAACCACCTCGCAGAGAGACGTGATCTGGCATGGAGTTTCTCTGCTCAGCAGATGGCGACAGGTTGTCGCGACGGAATCGGACGCTGTTATTGGGGCGGTTGCCTCTTTCTCTGGCGGCAATTTCGCAACCGGCTGGGTGGCCATGATGGCTGCAGCGCTGTTTTTGACGCGGGGGACTGCCGTCGCTTTGCTCAGCCGTAGAGCGCCTATGCAACGTGCTGCCGTAAATGCCTGTCGCGAGCCGTGATAATGGCTTCGACCATCTCGCAGCGGGTACATACAGACATGCGTCCTTGCCAATATTACTCTAGATGGAAAGAACATCAAACTCCAGCAATGTGTTGGAGGCGCAGGCCGCGGGCGTGAGTCCCTTGAGCTGGCTCTGATGCTGAAGTTTGTGGCGCCGTCAACAGGCGCTATTTACCCCAATCTGCCCCGTCGGGCAATCGTGTCAGTGACGCAGCGCTTCAACAGCGCTCCCGAAGCTGACTTGCTGGGCAGGTAGGCGACTCGGGCACAGTCGTGGCGGGGGTCTGTGCTTATCCTAACAACGGTGGCCCTCCGCATGTGGGCGGGCACCCAACTGCTTCCCAATCCGGATCGCGCTTCGACCGTAGCTGCAAGACACGCGTGGTACACTGCGAGTGCCTCGAAGCCAGTTGGCATGCCCTTCCCGCTGAGGCGCGATGATGAACTAGTACTTCTCGCAACGGACGGGGCTCTCGAAGCGAAATGAGCAGATCCCGCCCTGCGGGCACCAGCCGCCCAGGCCCGCTAAGCGAAGTACCGCGGAACATGGGGTTCCACTTGAATGCCCGCACCTCTCAGAAGGGCGGCCAGAGGAGGAGCAGCCGTGTACGCAAGGAGACTCGAACTTTGGCGTTATGAGAGGCGACTTGCTCGTTGGCGGACCGATCGGGTGCTCATTTATGGCCGAAGTAGAGAGTTCGGGGAAATCGACGGGCTGCTGCTATTCCACAATAGCAGCATTGAGGGTACTGTATCTGGCCTGGGCGAATCTACAGATATTGGTTATCTATACGGGCATCTGTCCCGCAACGGGGCGGAGAAAGCGCCCCGGCTTAAATTGGGATGTGGAAGGGCGTAAATCGCGGCCGTCAAAGATGCGCAAGGTGTACATAGAAGTTAAGTGCAGTACGGTACTTATTTACCAGGCTGAACGTCGCTTTAAGTGTTCCGATCGAGGCTCAGTCGAGCACTGCCGCCTGGCCGTTATCTTGTCTTCACGGAATCATACGGAACGTGGAAGTAGAAATTTCTGCCAGAGACATGCGGCATGCAGGCAGACTTTCGCCGTAAAATCTGCGCTGGCTACCCGGCGGATACGGGAACTGTCCGAATCCGTCACGATTTCTCTAGTTGTGAGATGTCTAGGTAGGCTCGTCTAGGCGCAAGCAAGTAGAAAATTCTAGGTGGGTAGGATCGTGCGTATGATCTCCATACGGGGGCCTCGGAACAGCTTGACGTTCCTACCCCGGCACCCGCGGTTCGTCTGCAGGTGGACTTTTCTACCTACACCTACCTCGCTCGGGGACTGCCAAAACTCCTGCATCCGCCCCGTGCAATGCCCTTGGTAGCACTTGCTACCCTGTCATGTAAAATGCTTTCCGTGCAAGAGGCCGGCAGACATTTCTAGGGATGGCAGTTGATTGCGGTTTGGACCTCTGCTCATATGGCTGGCGTTTTTTTCCTTTTTTTTTTTTTTTGGTGTCCTTTTTTCTTTTATCTGGGACGATGTCGTGCGACCTCTGGAGTAACTGTCCAAGCGAGTATGCTAACAACTGGCTGGCGACTACGAAATATTAATACGGGCGTCTAGCTTACTGTAAGGCCAAGTAGTTGCTGTAAGCATGTAAATGCTAATTGAGTACTGTAATACGGTAAGGAAGAAAGAAAAACTATCATTAAGCAACGGCGGGCTAGGCGCTGCTCATCTCGCTCGGGTGCTCAGTGGAATTGAGGTAGATTTTTCTACTGGGATTGTACGTGGAATAACGGTGCCATGGAGACGGGTAGCAAAGTCTAGCTGCATAGCAGCATAGGTAATGTGGCTACGTAGAAAGTTCTACGCCTGGCATATAGAAATGTCTACATGGAAGGCTCCTTCCTTTCAGCTCACAAGGTAGAGAGTGTAGTATACCTTGCTACTAGGCGTGTGAGGTCCCGAGGTAGACAATTCTACCTATGTAATATCTCGGGCAGGGACAGAAAGTCCTAGAGTATGCAAGACACAAGCCAAATAGAAAGATCTATCTGCTTGGATTGCCCACCGTGCAAATTCTACGTGGTGGAATGAGGAGTCCTCATGCTCGGTGGTATTGAGCGGCGCAGTCCACATAGAAAAGTCACACCGGAGCCAGACTTGTTTATTCCACCGGCGGAAAACCATGTCCAACCGCCTAGGTGCATAGAAGACCCTACCTATGCAATGCCATGCTCCGTATAGAAAGTTCAATGATCAAACATGACGAGCCCAGGCGTCCGACAGCCACAACACGTAGGAGAGTCTACATATACCAGCAGCGGACCCAACGTAGAAAAGTCTACTTGTATCACCCACGTACTAATCGTGACAAGGCCCAGTCCGAGAAGATCTACCTACGTCCAGTCATACTCCAGGTAGAACGCTCATTCCCGTGACATTTCCACAGCGCTTCGCCTAGAAGTTTCCAGCCAACTCATGGCACAGGCCTCGTAGAAATTCTACATACAAAGTGATTTTCATTCTCCGCATGGAAGCTCTACTCAAAAATTCTTCGGGAGCTGCGTATGTATGTCCTAGTAGGTAAGTACTGTACCTAGTACTTAGTCGTAGTAGTACAGTAGTAGTAGTAGTTTATTTTTCTTCCAGCGGCGAGGTATATGTGTCCTACACGTACAAGATCTATGAGTCCGGGGAAGACATCTACACACACAAAAAGTATGGTCAAGCATCCACATGGCACCGGCCACCTCGAGAAATCTACTCGCACATCCCACATACAGAATGTGTGAAGTCCGAGATAGGAGCATCTATCTAGACCATGTCATCTCTTGGGTGGAACGGACGGCCCACAGACTGCATAGAAGCGTCCACGCAGAAGGTTCATCCGCCCGTCCTCACAGCAGAGGAAGTGTGGTGCAGAGGAAGTGTGAGTCTACCTACCTTCCTCATCACACTTGCACATGGAAGTGTCTGCTTACGTGACGCGGGAGGTCCATGTGCCGAGAGGAACACCTTGGCAGAAAACTCTACCTAGGAAGTCCACTGCTCGGGAGATCCCTTAGGGTCTAGCAAAAGTTTACCTGTGTCGCCTTCACACGGACTTGGGTGTGAGGGTGTAATGGCGAGTCGCTGTCCTCACAAAGAAAATACCACGTACAAAAGCCGATAGCCCCAAGGCACATATTTAGCACACAACTCTTGTAGCAGTGGCTATCTCCATCCATCAAGGCAGTTCCCATAAAAACAATACTACAGACAAATTTTGAGGGGGTGGCTGGGCCAAGCGTTCGCATGGCACAGGTCAGATAGAGACGTCTACGTAGATGCCCACCTACCTGAATAAGAACTTTTTGCACGCAGAAAGTCCACCTACAAAGAATATACACAAAAGCGTACAAGCCTGCCACCTAGTGGACTTTGGGTAGAAAAGTCCATAGGTGAGGTGTGGGAAGTTTAACCGCCTGCGCGGCATAGGCCACATGGCAGAGTTTACATGTAGCAGCCCCTACCTAGAATATAAATGCGTAGAAAATTCTACCCGGCCTATGTTGTTACATAAGGTGAGTAGTCTAGGTTTGCGGTACTGGTACGGAATTGCGCGCGTATAGAAAAATCTACCTACTTGCTCATAGCCAAGAAAAGTCTACGTGTGCACCGGCAGTTCAAGGGTCCGCACTATAGAAAAGTCTACGTACAGAGCCCACCCGCATCCTCGTGGCGGGCTCTAGGTAGAAGGTACGAGATAGAAAAGTCTATCTCATTAACCACCCCACGAACAAGCGGCTGCGTGGAGTATGCCACATAGAAAAGGCTTCCTACGGAAGTCTCGTCTACTTGCATTCATCCACGTATATAACAAGGTGGAATAGCCCAGATAGAATGATCTACCTACCCTATCGCACTTCTCAGATAAACGTCTGGGCACATCTCCATCCGTGTGAACGGATCGCATAGAAGATTCTACCTCCACGCCCTAAGCAGAATTGCCAGAACATCCAAGAAGAGTCTATGTAACATCAAACGCGGCATGCAGTTCCAACGAGAAATACTCACTCATGAAAAGCGTAGAAGATTCTACGCCGAAAATATTATGGTCCGACACTGACCGGGATTGGGTGTGTGTGGTGTGAGTGTGGGGTGCTGCAATCTTAGTCACGTGCACCTCTACAGGGGAAGGTGTTGTTAGGGGCAACTAGGCTTGAGCCCGTAAGCGATTTACATCGCGACAGTAGTTGAGGCTGGCCAGCCACCTGATTTCATCAGGGTGGCTGGGAAGTCTTCTAAACTAAAGATAAATGACATGAACCCTTCTGAAGGATGAAGAACAACGACAATCAATTCCTTTTCAATAAAACACAAGTTTAGTTAACAATGAGTCTCATAACGTGACAGTTTTGTTCCTGACTAGCCACCCATGAGAAAGCAAAACTCGCAGCCGACAAGTTTCCACCACTTCAACGCCGAGTATGCCTCATCGAGTCGGTCCTCAATACTGCGGCCATCATCTTCACGTTCGGCAATTGTTTTTAGAATCATTCCTTGTTGGTCGGCCGCGAACTCGCTTAACGAAGAACCTACGGTACCAAACAGTGTCCAGTCGCGCTGGCCCATACATTGAACATCGTCATGTCGCGTGGTCCGAGTGTTCACTGCGGGTGCGGTCGAACTCCGGGCCCGGGCCATGGCCAGTTTGTGGCGCTTTGTGTGTGGCAGTCAGTCTCTGGCGTAAAAGGCCCGCCATGCGTGACTCCTCAAGTGGTGTCCAAACCCCAGCCTAACCCGATTCCCGAAACGCTACTCTGATAATTTTATTTAGTTGATGGCCAATAGTGAAGACACCAAACAACTATAATGGCATGTCTCGGCTTATTTACCCGGCTATACAGCAACCAACCACTTACGCGCTAATGGAAAATTGGAGGATGGCCATCATTGACCATCTCGACCGCTTCCAGAAGAGAGTGGCCGCGATTATTTTCGCTCCCCTTCAAGCTAATACTGGTACCGTTGGGACCAGAACTGGCCGCTTCATCAGCGACTTTTTGTTCATTGATGGTTACTTGGGAACTGGCAGAGCTTGTCAAGGATGGAGGAGACTCAACCCCACTAATACGCCGTCGCTTTGATGGTGTAGCCATATCGTAGTCCGCTCCATCAGCCTCAACCCAAGCCCTAGTTCGAGACGTATGACGTCCGTCATCATCATTATTCTCGGGATCCTCCGATGCGTACCCGAATTCTTGTACGCTTTCTTGACCATCTCCTTGCTGGGATTCTGATTGTGGCCTGGATCTCTTACTAGGACTCGAGGCCCGCGATCCTCCGCCGCCGTATCGGCTGTGTCGCTGTGCACGATCCATCTGAACTTCTTGAGTAATCCAAGCAGGACTGCCGTTGGAGTCGATGCCACGATGCACTACCGCGATCCGGCGGCGTTCTCCTCTTAGAATAAAGTCTTTGATACAGGCGAACACTGTGAGAGCAAATCGTGCAAACAGGAATTGCGGTGCCACGGAATCAAGGCTGTGTGCCTTGCGATTGTGATATTTGAGAGCGGCGTCGCCAGAATCGTTCGTAGTCGAGAGGAAGTGTACGACAGTATGTCGATGCCCTTCCTCATCCAGTTTGGGAACAAAAGCAAACGCGCGATCATCGAAGATCCTGTGAAGGTCAACACGAAGTCGGCATACATTGTCGTCACTGTTTGACACCGACTTTGCGCCTTGAGAATAGTCACACATAGCATTGTCAGTGTACCACTTGTCGTGAGATTGGGGTATGACGTGTGCCTTCTCGGGCCTATACGGCCCGAGATGATACAGCTGGGCTTGGTATCGCGGGGAGTCATCGCAACAGAACCCCAAGATTGTGGGAGAGCATCAGGAAATCGCCACTCCTGGAAGTTGGGTGTGACAGCATACGATGTCGTGTCAGTGTCGTCTACTGTTACGAATCTTTGGTCAGCAGACGAATTCACGGATGATTGAATGGCGGAAGAACCGGCACTTCAGCCTCGAGATGATATAAAGGGGGAAGGGAAAATGAATTCACCTTGGGGGACGTGGAGAAAGTAGTGGTCATGCATCAAGATACCACAGGGAGCCAGTTGTACTCTGTTGCTGCCTTTGCGATCGTAGCTTAAATATGCAGTCTCGAACGAGTTTCCTGCGATAATCTGGCAGGCCAATAGCATCGTTTCGAAATGGACCCCATAACGCGCTTTTCCTAAGCAGGCGCCCTTTTGCCCATCGTCGGTTTCGTTGTCCGTTTTGTCTTGTGGCCCTACTTCATCCAGTCTTGGTAGCGAGAACATTGTGTCCTCACCGCGGATGTACCCAGGGTGCCATATTGAAATATGAGAGCGCAAATGCGACGGAAGTTGACGTGAGAGACAGACGTCTTGGAGCCGCATCGTCCTCGTCCTCGTCCGTAGTCGTTGGTGCCGAGGCGTCGCAGAAGCAGAGGATGTGATTTTGGTCAAGATATAGGGTTGATTTCGTGGCGCTAATCAACCCTTGACTTCGTTTCCCTGTCGATTCGGTTTGGGGGTTCACGAAGCAGCCAGTTGTGTGATGGTTTGGCTGGTAGCATTTGCATGGCTGTTCCCGTCGATTAATACCAGATGTTGCACGCTGCAGGATGTACTCGACAACTTCATTCTCTACCACTGGAAGAGGCTATGGGGTAATGGGGGGAGGAGACTTTCAATCTGCATGACGGCACCAGCCACGTTGGATTTACGTAAGCACACGGACACCTTTTATGTCACCACAGCAACCAGATAGCGCCACGGCATACGGTGTGTTGAGCACGGACCAAGTCGGATGAAAAGTTCTTGCAGCGCACTCTCAACAAACGGTTAACTGGCTTAATTTTGCAGGGGTAGTCCGCTTTTATCCTCAAGTATCACATTGGCTGATTTGCCATTACCCCACGAACCCATCTTGATGTACCTTTCACCGAATTTTGACTCTTTTACAAGCAGTATAAATTCTGAAAAAGTTTAAGAACTCTAGAAAGCTGTATGTGTTGAACATGAAACAGCATCACGTGCAGGGTCCAGCCCGCGCCTTCCATACCCAGCCTACCTCGGCAGCATCTGTGACGCTCAACAGTATGCACCAACATTGGAAACAACTCCACACATCTCGTAAGAGCCCTTAGCGCTGTGCGTAATACCCAAATGTTTTCCCATGATGGTTGCTAGAGAATACGTATGCACCAAGCCCAGCATCATACTCCCACTGGTTACTATAAGTGGCCAGGTCTCGTGTCTCATCATTCTCATCCTTGAAAGTGCATCGTAAACGACGCCCATTCCCGCCGAAGTGTACGTTCGTCACCTCGTAAATGCCGGAACTCTCCAGAGTGGCCATGGGTATATTTTGAGGGGGAAGCTGATTGTAAGCAGGGGCGGCACTTGACGAAGCTTCTCCAGGATTGAAGTCGTACGCCGACGTTTGAACCGAGCTTGTCAATGTTGGCGCTTCCCAACGAGGCTCGATTCCCAGTATGACGTCCACATACGCCTTCCAGTGTCGCGAAGCGGCGTCCGGTGCGATGTCCACATATTCCTTTCTGTCAGATGAAGCCCCTCCGAAAAGGGGATCAAGTTCGCGAGACCCTTTTCTGTAATACCACAGTCGGAATGTTCTGCCAATGTTCGTGTGGACATATATACCTGGTAACTGCAACTCATTGTCCTCCACGAGGATCTTAGCGTACCTCATTGCCTGGGCTTCGAGTGAGCCAGCGGTCTGGCCGTCCTTCTTATTTTCAGTGACCGAAACTGCAAACTCAGTTCGGTTCTGTGCAACATATTTCTCGAGGACTCCGTCGATCAACAATTTCTCGTTGCGAGCTATGTCTTTGTATGTATATTGCTCGGTAGAATAGGACCACACCTGGGGATCATGTAGAATAAAAGTTTTATTGTAGCGATGATTCCAGAGTTTCTTAACAAAAGCCTCGTATGTCTGAGCCTCTTCGTACATGTGACACAACTTGTCTGAGTCCAAGATGTGATGCACTGGAGTCGATGGCATTGTGGAGGTTTGCATCGTGGCAGTTTGACGGTTGGCAAGAAAATAGACAGCCCAGCAAGTTTATGAAGTAGAGAAATCTGCGATTGCATAGTTAAGTAGTTTAGTCTGAGAAGGATCGGCCGGATTTTATATTCACGAGAGCAGTGAGCCCATGCGGGCAGGCAGATTTGTGCCGTTAAACTAATATGTCCAAACCATCAAGTACATACCTGGAACCAAAGTATACTGAAGCTCAGTTCTAGACCCACTCAAAGCTCCTCTTCCTAGCCCCACAGACGACCGTGAAGTGCGCTCGATCCCGAGCGTAGCCCCACAGAGACCGCTTCTGTCCCACCAAAGGGGGTCAGGTACGACTGCCACGTGATTGGGCACAGCCTAGGACGTAGAGGGCTGGCAAAGAGCGAGCCATCTACCCCCTTCCCTATACTCAATGCTTTGCCTCTACTATGCGCTTCGTTACGACATCATGTTAGAGTTCGAGCATTGCATCAATCACCACTGTGGGCTTTGTACATACGAGTTCCAGGCCGACGAAACGGTTGTAGCATGCAAGTCTATGGGCGTCAACATACATCCTCCTGCTGCTCTGAATGACATTTGTGTAGGTATCCCCGATGGATCTCAGGTTCAAGATGCTTCTTACCAGCCTTGTGGCTGGTCCTGTAGCCATTCAGATGGACTCGCCACTGCTTTCCACAAGCAGTGCTATCCGACTGGGGCCACATTATCACCAAAAGTATGGGCGGTGACTTGTTGTGACTTCGAACCGACGTCAGATACAGCTTTGGTAAACGCGAACCTCGTGTTGGATAATATTGTTCGGGTCTCCGACCGTTTACTGCTGAGACGCCTACCGCCGGAACTACGGCGTATGGTGGGCGACTATCTGGTGACAGCATGGTGCATTGCATCTACCTGTGCATTGCAGGTAACAGAGCAACGATCTATAGAGGTTTGCCTGGCATCTCCTATTTGGGCTTGCTTTGTTAAAACACATACTAGATCCTATATCGCTTCGTTGTCCAACGGGAGAAACAATAACAGCCAGAAAAATTGTGAGCTTCTCATTTACGAGCCTGCGTCGGAAAAAGACATTGACACGGTCTACGTTGCTCGTGATTCTTGGGGCATCAAACGAGTTGTGTTTGCTTGTTCCAGAGATGAGTTTATTTTCTCCGAGCACGCAGGCATCTGGTGGCAGATTTTGCGCATATCCAAAAATACCGGCAAACTCGTTGCGCAAAGCGACGTAATTATCCCCCAAGTGAAAATGCAATGGCATGCACTAACCGATGTACGGCTTCTAGGGATTCAAACTACGAACACTTAAATATTTTAACGGAAATCGTGAGGTGGATACTTCAGGAATATTGTGGTCTCGGCCGCCGTACCCTCTGAGAATGTTTAAAGCCTACAAGCGGGACAATGCACATCCTCCCACCAAGATGACATCTGTTGTTCTTAACGGCCAACATACTACGGGATACTCGGTGTGCTGGAACTCAAGGGCCATGTCGTTCCATGTGCATAAGACGAATGGGCCTTTTTCATTGTGTGCATCTCCAGAGTCTCGAAAACCTAGCGGAAGATGGCTTTATATGCCTATTGCGGGCGACGAATGGCTTTCTGAAGTCTGGCTTCGTTCCGACTCATTCCGACGATGCACACTAGTTGTAAGTCTATGGATCAGTCGACTGAGACCAGAAACTGACTCCCGTCTAGCTAGTCACAAACACTAAGCGGGCTTTGGTTATGGGAGAACACTCACGTAGAGGCCGGAGGTTTTCTTATGAGCTGATTGCGAGGTTGTCAAATGAACCTAGCCTGTTTTACCTCGACCTGAGTGACGGTTTACGGGAAGTTGCTATGAGTGTGCCTCTGTCACAGAAGGCGGCGAGGACCGAGCTGTATCTACCAAAGCCGGTGTCGGCATACCCTCAATGTCTGCCTACGGAGGACTTCTTTTTTTCCGCCGCATCTCTCGAAGATGTGTCAGAAATAAAGCTCTGCAGGGTTTCAGAGGGAATTTCCGGTGTGGTCTTACGCTACTCTGACGATAGAGAAGTCAGCCTGGGCTGGGTCCACCCGGACCATTTGAGTAGCCCACAGAGAGTTGACAGCTTGGGGATGTGGCTGTTCGTGTCAGAGCCTCGTGATGGGTTTCCTCTGGTAACTGACATCAAATTAAGCCTTCCATTGGCGGACTCACAGAAGTATTTTGCAATACAGTGGCGAGGGCAACTAGAGTGGTGGTTTTCACTTAGGCAGTGCCAACTGTACCATGAAGGAAGATGCACCAGAGCGACTCAATTCTAGTATCCCAGCATGGACCAGACCTAGAGGCGCCGTCATTGACGGCGATTCGTGGCGAAGAGACCGGGCATGCTGCAACTTAAGATCGATGTCCACGGGACTCTGCACCTCGATCAGCAAACTCATAGCGATTAGCGTGCCTGCACTCGGGCTCATGGAACACAAAAAACTGTCACACGATATAAGTGGGCATAGTTGCTCATTTGTTGACGAAAGCCACTGGCGAAGCCCACCATATCGAGTTATTTCACCAAATTCTAGACTTTCCGGTCGAAATCTATTACAGTAATCATCAATAAATTCGTTACAGTAAAAGGTCGGTCCATCTCCAATACAGTAATTCGCCATCAAGCAATTACCAGTAGCTAAACAAGCATCTAGGATGTACAGTAACTAGTTGCGATATTCATAGTTGGTTAGTTTTCTCAAGCGAGTCTCACGTTTTGTACAAATTACCCAATGATACCCAATGATACCCAATATGTGCGTTGCCCCACTGGTTGTACACACGCTCGTCCCCGGTTGTTCATTGCTACTGGCTATGGACTGCTGTGGGCCCACAGAGTTTTCTTCAGCCAAAAGTAACAGGTCACAATCCATCCCATGACCAAAGTCGGGCCAAAACGATGGGTTACGCCCAGGCATCTCAGGTATCAAACCAGAAAAGGACCTATTCGCCCCCAGGCTTGTCAATCATGGTATGGCCCCTTTAAGTCAGACTGTCGCATCAGAACCTAATGGTAGCCAAAAGGATGAATCTGGCGACGGGCTCAACTTTGAGAAACTGGACAGAGAGAAGTTCGATGATACGGCGGCAATAACACTATCGCCAGGCCCCATCTCGGACACAGGATTTCTGATAATGTGGGAAGGATGCTCCGGTGTTGCCACAAGGAAAGGGTATCACGCCCCATGGGTTCAAAAGGACGTGGAATCTGAACACGTACGGTCTGGACAGGTCCGGCTTTCAAAACCGTGGCAACTGTACCTAACAGGTGGTGTCAAAAAAGCGCTGGCTATGAAAGTCCCGAAGGCCTGACGGTGAGGTTCTAGAACCAGGGAAGCTAGTATTCCACAGGCTACATCTCACATTCGTAGACTCGTCAAATTATATTTTCGATTCTTGGTTCTAATTATCCATAACCCTGTCATATGACACAGCGATACGAGAGTCAACCGTCAGGAAAACGGCATACCGATTTGGACAATATCCGCTGCGACTTTGACAGCCTAAAGCCCGTCGATAATAGCTGGGGCAGTCCCGGACGTAATATGTTAAAACAGCTATTCAACAAAGACAATGCCTGTCCATACATCCTCTCGGTGCAACTAGAAGTCTGACCCCGCCTCAGGTAGCTCAATTGAAGGACCAATTTTGATGTCAAATGGACCCATAGCTACCCGCTTCCTGGAAGAACATCCTCAGTTCCGGCCAGAGCTTCACCTGGATGGTGTATAGTTTGTCAGGTAGCGCCTGTAATTTTAGAAATCCATTCGAGTTCGCAACACCAGAAAGCGTTAAGGTAAGCAATCGAGTGAATCTCCGTGCACTATCGACTGGTGGACGCGACCCGCTTCCGGCGATAGAGTAGATTGGTTCACCAATATATTCCCTAATGTCGGCTTCGCGCGCACGTCTAATCGTGTAACTATTTTCACCGTCGACTTCTATGTCAGGCCCATCGCCATTCCCGGACAGCGCAGTCCACCCCGGCTGTCTGTCTACCATCGTAAGGCTGAACACCTTGGCAGCAAGGTAGGGAATAAACCTTCTATAAATCTCAATCGTAAGAGAAGAATCTGCAGCATTCGGTGCGTGGTGTATCGTCACGGATGCATAACCATTTGTTTTGACAATAAGGTCACACATTCTGGGTACAAAGACGTCTTCGAGGTAAAGTGTGTTCGGATCTGTGAGTAGTTCACCCAGTGGCCACGTCCAAGGGAAGAAATTCACATGAGCTGGACTTGAAGGCCTCAATTGCTCCCTAGCCTCAGTCGAATTAGCCGATGCTGGATCGTTCAACCCCCTCGCGGGAGAAGTGGTTGATATTCCATCTCGTAGTTCAGGACCTTCTGTGCGTTGCCGCATCGCAGCTGGGCTGCTTTCCACCTGATCCTCGTCAACATGTTGTCGCTTTCTTCCGTTGGAGTGTTCATAATCAATATCAATTAGATGTGCCAAATTAGTGGCTGTGAGATAGTCTAGTTTACGTCAGTTCGTGCAAAGTTTTCATTATTGACATTTTCTCCAATACTTACCTTGACGACTTTTGGCCCTTTTACCCCGATTAAAAATATTTTTTATAAGCTGTTGCGTTTCGGTACTGACCGATGTATCCTTCACGGCGTCAAGAAGCGACTTCTCATCGTCCGACGAAAGACCATTGAAGGACTGTCTCATGCTTTCATTATAGAGCAGAGCGACCCAGGCGCTTAGCGAGTGCTCCATGAATCTCCTCTCACGCGACTCTGCTACTGTTGTCGAGCATACCTGCCTCAACGAGGCATCGAACCCGCCTGGGGCTTTTCTGCCACTGGTATTGGACAAAATATGATATTGTATTTCCTTCAGTATAGCCTGCCATCCTGGTGTGGACATTGGTCTGTCGTCGGTGGGGGTAATGTCTTGCGTTTTGGAGCGAGCAACTGAGGTGTGGGTTTCTAACAGAGGTGCAGGAGGTGAAACGCTACTTTAGACCTAGAGGTGTACGCGGGTTCTCAGCTTTAGGCAAGAAGAATGACGTGGGGCAAGGACCAATTCTGGTTTTGTCAGCAGTGGGTCTCAAGTCGCCAAAACCAGCACAAGCAGGGTATTACTGGAGCTGCCGGCGGAATCGTATTCGTTTTCAGTTCCTTCTATTGAAGTGTATTTACCTGTTACGGTAGACACTAATTGAGTAGCAAGCGCAGGCGCTTTGTTCACATCTGCAAGCAGACCTACACTCTCAAACTATACATTACTGCTTAATCCTTTTGAACGGCTTCTTTGCCGAGTTTCTTGCCGCCCCCACATCTTGTTCTGAACCCAGCATCCAACCATTTGCCAAAAGAGTGTTCAGATTCTACGTTTTCTGCATGGCACACGTAATCCTTTGTAGACACCCGGAGCTGTACGGAGTATTCTCCGGCTTTGATGTCTTTCAGACAACGTGTTGACAGGCATCTCTCGGTTGGAGCCTCTAGGCACACCGGCTTCGGTCGCTGGTTAGTTTATGGCTGTAAAGTGCACTGTCTTTGTAAAGATGACCGTTGGCTTTCAGTGAGACGGGGGCAGGTCCTGTACCAGGACCGGTTCTAATACATGAATTCTAAGGTTCGACCGTAGTGGCTTCATGATGGGAAACATTCACCACCTTGCTGTTTAACACCAGCTTGCGTCACATGGGTCGTGAACAGAACGATAGCAGTTTCTTGGGTCTAATCTACAGTTTCATTTCCTCAGTGACACCGGAGACCATACTTCTGACCGTGGCTAAGATGACCATCGCGGTGACGGCGACGGGGCTGGTGGTGACTATTGTTACAATAGTGGTGACGGGGACAGTGACATGAAGCCAGGATGGTTACGAGAATTATTCTGTATTTCAAAAAGTTTGTAACTGGCCCTCGCTGCACAGAATCCACCTGCGGAAACTGCAAGAGACAGTTGTACACAACAACCGCCCTTGGCAAGTATGCCCTGTTTTGTTGAGACAGGGGGTGAGAGGCTGCAGAGTAATCTAGGCGCTAAATTTGTCAAGCCCGCAGTTTCACTGGACTGTTTCAATGGGTTCTGCTCGTTATACAGTGTTTACTGAGGTGTGCTTACTGAGCCTACATTAACGAACCTTGCTCATTGGACCATGTGCCTCAACTGAGCCCTCTCATGGTTCTACCTCGTCCAGTCAGCCACTGCACTACAATGGGCTGTCTGCACTGAGCCATCTTCACTAAGCTGTCTTCGCTGAGCTGTCTTCTGAGCTGCCTGCACTGAGCTGCCTCCATCAACTCGTCTGCTCTGGGCTGTCTGCACTGAGCTGTTGCAGTGATCCTTCTGTACTGGGTGCATGGCCTTACACCATCAGTTCGGCTGTTTTCACCGTCATCCCCTTCTTCCAATCACCACCATCGTCGCTGGCACTGTCACCGTCGCCATCACCGCCACCACTGAGTTGTCTGCGATGAGTTGTTTGCAGTGGATTATCCATACTCTGCGCCTAGCCGTCGCCACTAAACCATCATTATTGGACCATCTTCACTACGTCACATCACATCCCTTAATAACAATGCTCTCGTGTCGCGGTAGATAAATAAGTGAAATTCAGTAGGGAGTTGCTCGCCCTACTTTGGGGACATGCGAAGATGCGATATCGCCTTGCGGCGCAGGCTGAAGCGAGGTTCGATTTGGAAACTGACGAGCCTTAAGACAATCGACATATGCAAAAGTGAAAGATTTTCATTGCGATTCCCGCCATTGTGAATTGAGATCTCAAAATTCACTACGGCTCTACAAAGCGGGGGTCTGTGGTTTGTAGTAGACCCCGAATCCGTACCTGGGACCGAGGTCAAGATCCTAGCGGTAAGATCTAAGATCTCATATCTTTGCGCTGCATTGAGCTATGTAGCCTGCGGCATCACCAGTAGCAAGAACTGATCTTATCAAATCTTAGCGCCACGAGTTCTGTGTCCGCCGCCTCAATTCTAATCGATGTGGCTCTGGCTATCATATGCATGATCTTGTAGGGAAGGCAATCGAGATAGGCGAGTCCCTCCATGATTCCGTCCTGTTAGGACGCGTACGTCATAGATAGAAACAAGGCAAAAGGTAACTTAAGCACCACCTTTAGGTGGGGCGTGGCACGAGTACTTGGCCCCCATGATCTGCTTGACAAGTGACCTGATTCCGAGCGGCCCTTTCCACTTCTGTAATGTATTGTGACTAATGACCCAGTTTACAGGCTGGATGCGCCTCTAAATCGCCAAGGACGAGGCCGAGAGGCAATATGGTTTGGGGAGGACCTCTGTGTGCCATTAGCTTCAAGCTTTCCGATACTCTTGGCATCACCATTCGTGATTGGCTTTTCACTAGCTAGCTCCTCGCTCCAAGTGGACTGGTTCTCGAATGGGCTCGTCATGCCCTGTGTCAGACAATTGAGGGTCACAAAAGGTCCAGTATAATGGCGCCGAAGGCGCCAATTGTATTGAATGAGAATTATCTAAGGAGAAAGAACTCCATTAAGAGCTGCACGGTTCCCGTGCA